ACCTGTTTTCTCATCTTTACCTGAAGAGGGTGGGCTTCACGGTCTCCAGGGATATGACTGCAGTGCGAGAAGGCCACAGGTCCCTCGAGATGCCCCTCATCACAAGTCATCTACTGCTCAGGCTGCTCTCTGTGTACTGGACAGGACAGCAGAGGAAGGTGGATGCCACCACCATGGTCATTCTCTTTCTAGAACAAGATGGCCAGCTTCTCAGAGAGCACTGGGCACCTGGCTCTGCTTTCAGCTCCTGACCTCTGGGAAGTAGCCCACTGCCCAAGGCTCCTACTGGGCTGCTTCTGATGCTGCATCGGGCTACCCAGTTCCCTCTGCCTAAGACCAGTCCTCCTTGTCCTTTCCAGGGCCTCTTCCTTAGGCCCCCAGCCTCCAGGCCAGTAGACCCAGGCTGAGGGCCCTGTTCCTGGGCAGCCCTGGCCCTTAGGAGGCAAGATACCATTTGGCTGGCCATCTGGAGACTGGCACATGTTGGAGGCATGTGGCAGACATCTTCCCCTGACCCCTCACCTAATCTACATCTTTGTCCCCGTCTGTAAAGTGCAGGTGACAGTATGTACCGGAATGAGATTATGGCTCTTCCACTACGTTCCCCTTGCCCTGGGACTCAGCAGGGAATTTGCCCAAGTGTCTGTGCCCACTCCTTGTTCCTTCTGGAATGGCCCCAGGGAACAGGGGACAGCCTGACCACACATCCCCTTTCCTCTCTCAGCTTGCCTCCTGCCCCCAGGGCCTGGGAGGCCAGCAGATGGAGCAGTTGCCCAGATGCCTGTCTCAGGCCTTTCCCAAATCCTTGCAGGTTGGTGTCCAGGCAGGGCCCCCACCCAACCTTCTGAGCAGATCACTATGGTTTTTGGACCTTAGGTGAGGCCTGGAGCCTGAAGCTAACAACCTTCGGGGAGCCTGGGGGTGAGGTCAGCCTATAGCAAAAATCAGAGGAAGGTGCTGAGTCCTAGTGGTCAGTTAGGATCAGGCCTCCTTGAGCAACCCCCCTGGTGCAGCTGCACCCCAGGGGCATTCTCTGATAAGTGTCCAGTAAGCAGCTTGTATTTGGGGATCTGAGAGCCCTGGCCCATGCCTGGTTTTTTGGCCTGCCTCTTGCTCTCCCTTGTTTATGCCGCCTGGCAACTAAGGCCTGCCTTTCGTGTGTTCTGCCTCTGTGCTGGGCTGGACAGGGCCCTGGAGCCAGGGACACTGCCAGGAGCAGGACAGCCAGCCCCCACCAGGACCTGCCCCACGAGCTGTGCACAGGAGTGTGGGGAGGGGCGGGTCCCAGCTGCACCACTCACTGGGCCAGGCAGCGTCCCTCAGTCTGAGCCACTCTGCTTTGGCCTCTGTGATGAGGGCAATGGAGGGGGGCCTCTAGTCCCAGTGTCACCTCAGGGAAAGCAGTCACAAGTCAGGCACAAATCCTCAAATGTGACCTTACTTGGGAACAGGATCATAATGGTGTAGGATGGTCCAGCGTAACTGGTGTCCTGAGCAGAGCAGAGTGTGAAGAGGACCACGGAGGCCACGTAGTAGCCACCGCAGAGGTTAGAGTGAGGTGGCCGCAGCTGAGGACACAAGGATAGCCACGACCCAGGAGCTAGAAGAGACAGAGGACCCTCTCCTGGACCCCTTGGAGGGAGCCTGGCCTGCTGGCATTCTGAACTCTGCAAAAATAAATACCCATTAAAAATGGTTCAGGGGGCCAGGCCCAATGGCACACACCTGTAATCCCAGCGGCTCAGGAGGCTGAGACAGGAGGGTTGCAGTTCAAAGCCAGCCTCAGCAATGGCAAGGCACGAAGCAAACTCAGTGAGACCCTGTCTCTAAAAAAAATTCAAAACAGGGCTGGGATGTGGCTCAGTGGTCGAGTGCTGAATTCAATCCCTGGTACAAAAAAAAAGGTTCAGGGCCTTGTTATGGCGGTCCCAGGACCCCAGTGCATGTCCTGTCCCTTTCTTCTTGGACCCTGATGGTGCTGGGCTCCAGATGACATAAATGCAGTCTTTGTCAACCAGATCCTGGCCACTAGCACCAAGAGCTGTGTTCAGGGAGAGTGCAGCTGGGGAGGGAGGTGTGGGTGTGTGAGGGCTGAAGAAGGACCTCTTCAGGCCGAGGTGTCCAGGACAAAGAACAGCCTCAGCCAGGTGTGGTGGCTCACGCCTATAATCCCAGTGGCTCGGGAGGCTGAGGCAGGAGGGTCACAGATTCAAAGCCAGCCCCGGCAACTTATCAAGGTGCTAAGTAACTCAGTAAGACCCTGTCTCTAAATAAAATATAAAAAGGGGCCTGGGGATGTGGCTCAGTGGCACCCCTGGGTTTAATCCTAGGTACCAATAAATGAATGAATGAATAAATAAGTGAAGAACAGTCTCTGCCTTGAAGAGGTGCTGACAGGCAGAGGCTTGGTGTCCCTGGAGGCTACAGGGTGTGGGCAGGTGAGTGCCACATACCCTCAAGCTGGTATTGGAAGGAACTTGGGTGCAGGGGTTGCCTAGGTGGGGAGTATGGCTGAGGGAGGCCTGGCCTTAGCCCAAGCTGTCCTGGCTGAGTTGCTCTGGGATTAGAACTTAGGCTGTGGGCCCCACGGCTCCCTACTCCTGACCCTGGAAGAACAATGATGCTGAAATTGTCCACCATACAGTTCCAAGCATGGTTGCCTATGATGTACTGTCTCAGCGCAGGCTGCCATGGCCACATGCTGCATGTGACAGACACTTCCCAGTCCTGGAGCTGGGCCTCTGAGAGCAGGGGCAGGCAGTGCTGCTTTGTCTGGAGGCCTCTCTGCTCTGCTTGCAGATGGCACCTTCTCCCTGAGCCTCATCTGTCCTTCCTGTGTCCCTCCTGTGGCCTCTTCCTCTTCTTGTAAGGAGGCCTGTCCTATCCTCCTGGATCAGGGTCTCTCCCTGTGACCCCACCTCCTGATACAGTCCCACTGGGGTTATGGCTTCAACTTGTAACATTCTTAAAAAAATTGATGTGGGAGGCCATCACACTGACTGACCAGCATTTTCCTTCCCTGATCAGTTGAGGCTCTGTTGGTCACTTCCAAGTGATCTGGCCACATCAACGTGGCCTTAGTTTTGGCTGCCCCAATCTTGGAAGTCGCAAAATGTCACAAAAAGTGTCTTAATGCATGGGTGTGCCTTCCTGCAGCCTATGGGTCGAGCTGTGCTCACCTGTTCCTTTGTGACATTAACCCTTTGCCCTGTTTGGGATAGAATGTTCCATGGAAACCCCCTTTGTGTGTCCCCTTCTCTTGCTCTGCCTTTGGGTGTGGCCTACCTAGATGTCAGTCAACCTGCTGACAGCAGACTTCAGGAAGCTAGACTCAGCCCCCTGAAACCTGACCCCTTGCCTCATTTGAATAGCTTCTCCTCAATAAAAGGGGTCAGCACCTGCTTGCTCTCTCTTTCTGCAGATTCTTAAAGTCAGAGGACCCCCAAAGAAAAAGGTATCTCTGTCTCTTGTGTGGTTATTTCGCGCAGCCCAGTTCCCCTGGAGTGACCCTGAGTGTTTTTGTCGCCGAGAATGTGACAATTTTAGTTGTTAAAATTTTAGTTAAATAAATTTTATTTTCATGTGGTGCTGAGGATCAAACCCAGTGCCTCACACATGCTAGGCAAGTGCTCTGCCACTGAGCCACAACTCCATCCCCTTCAACATATAACTTTTGGGGGACACAATGTGGTCCATGGCACATGGTTTCTGGTAGATGCCCACTTTATAGGTGAGGAAGCCGAGACACGCACACCACCTCCTGAGGCACCCAGCTCAGGCAGGCTCCCCTCAACTTTCATGGACTTGGAGGCTCCAACTCAACCTGCCACCCCCAACGGAAGCACCCAGGAGCAGGGCTAGATCGGGCAGAGGCAGGGGGTGTGGGCATCTTTGTGGATGCTGGAGCTGACCCCTGGGACGCACAACCCCTGCAGGGCCCTGCCTCCCAACAGAACAAGCTCTAATCCAGCCAGAGACAGACCCAGGGAGAAGCAGAGGGTAAGGGCAGAGGATAAGGGTTAGAGCAGAGGAGCCAGAGAGGGGTCCCAGCTAGGGCCCCATGTATGAGCCCAGAGAATGGGGACAGCAAGGAGGGAAAGCACCTAATGGAGGGTGGGGGGAGGGCTACGGGATGCAGGTGCGATTTAGGGATGACACCATGTTGCCCTATGCAAAAGAGCTGGCTCTGTCTCAGGGCCAGGACTCGGTGTACCCATCTGCAGAAGGATAAGAACAGATACACCTTTGGAGGATTTGAATGATTGGGGAAGACGAAACCTGGGGTGACAGGAGCCTGCCACGAGCCCTTGGTCTGGGCTCTTCCCACTAACCCAACCCCTACTCCATCCCCAGTTCTCCAACCCAGCCCACAGGCACCAAGAACCTGGGGGACATTCTCCCCATACCTGGGGCATCTGGCTGAACCCGTGGCAGTGTGGGATCCCAGGCAGCCCTTCGGGGAGGGCTTGGTGTGGCTCCTGCCCCCAGGCAGGAGGAGAACAGGGCCTTAACCAGCCCTCTTTCCGCAGGTCCCCACGCGCAGCCTCCCACACCCCCCATGGGCAGTCCTGGCTCCCGACAGCCCTGTCCCGTGCTGCCGCCCTGGCCCTCCACGGGAGCCCAAGGCTCCCTACCCCACTACGTGCAGTCCCCGTGTGCAGCCCGAGGCTCCCCACCGCCCCTCCTGTGTCACCGGCAGCCCCGGCCGCCCAAGCCACCCAAGCAGGCTAAAATCCACACTTCGGGACCCTCGACCCCTGGCGGGAGAGGCGGCTCTGGCGGTCCTCAGACGCGCCCTGCTGGGTGAGGAAGCCGGGGACTACGCGTGCGAGCCCTGGCGCACTGATCCCCCCACCTGGGGGTCGCGTCCACTGTCGCCGCCGAGGCTCGGCTCCCCTCTGCGCCCGCGAGGAGGGCCGAGCGAATGAAGACCGGAACCCGGCGCCGCGGCTCCCGTTTCCGGCCGGCGGGACCCGAGCGCCGCATCCAGCGCACCCGGACCGCGGCGGACGGACTCGGGTCGCTATGGCGACGCAGCCCGCCCGGAAGACGCCGAGCGGGAGATCAGGAGCGCGGGTCCCGGGGTGCGGCGGAGTGCGGCGGCCTGGACGAAGCGCGGCGAGGGCGGGCGAGCCCGGCGTAAGTTGCTGCCGGCCGGCAGGAGAGCGGCGCGGGGCCCGCCGGGTTTTCCCTGGTGGAGCTCGGGCCGCGCTGGGGCGAGACTCTCCCCACCGGGTGGTGCGTCCGCGCAGGGGTGGCGGGTTCCTCCCTGCAGGGGCGCGAGGTCCCCGCAGGGCTGGTAGGTTCCCCGCCTCCGGGGGTGCCCAGCGGCAGCCCGTGGTGCCCGGGCTGCCCCGTTCCTCGTGTGCCGGGACTTCCTGGGTTGTCAGTGCCTCCTGTGGGGACGCTGCGAGCTGTGTGTCCTGCTTCTTCCCGGGCCGCTGACCTCAGCACCTGCGAGTGTTTCCTGGAGTGACTGGTGTCCTTTACCCTTTGCATTCTGCTACTTCGGGCAGGGAAAGCAGCGCCTCGGGAGTTCACAGAATCACACTGCTCCGCTTCTTTCCGACAGAATTCCGAGCAGTGGCCACGCGTCTTTATGTGGGATCGGGATCACAGTGGGGAGACATTGATCACGGCCACCGGTGTTAGGGCACCTGGACTTGCCGTCCCCCACCCACAGGGTTCGTGTAGGCACTTGAGGGTCCTCCCTGAGGACCACAGGTGGAGGGACCTCAGCATGTCCTCCGGAGGACCTCAGCGGCAGGCGGGGACTGATCCTGGGGAGGTGGGAGGCCAGTGGCATCCACACAGGGATGGCCCTAGAGTCTTCTTTCTTACCCTGAGGTACACTTCACATCCAAGAAATTTCTGTTAAACTCTGCAGGAAACGCTGGGTTTCCTGGTCGTTCTGAAGAGCCACTGTTATTCCAGAGTTCTCCCTGGGATTTCTTCACTGCAGCTTCAGGGTCCCTGATCCAAGATGGCAGAGATGGAGTACCTGCCCACACTGCCCTCCTGGAGCTGGGGAGAGTCAGGAGTGTAGAAATGTGTTTGCGCTTCTACTTCTGGCAGCCTCAGACCTGAAATAATTATTAATGTGGCATTTGAAAAATAATTAAAAAAATTTAAGTCCTACATGGACACAATATGTTTTTTTTTTTTTTTTATGTGATGCTGAGAACGGAACCCAGTACCTCACATGTGCTAGGCAAGCGCTCTACCACTGAGCCAACAACTTCAGTCTGACAATTAATTTTTTAATTTCTTGCTTCTGCATTTATTAGTTGAAATTCTATAAGAAAGAAACTTCCCTTTTTGTATTTTTCTGTTTATTTCACTATTTTTGATGTTAGGATGGATGTTTTTATTTTTTGTTTCATGGATTATAATCTATTGCTGGCATTTATTCTAGATTGAGGCTTTAGAACCCCTTCTGTGGTTTCTGTGTCCATAGAGCATGTCCCCAAATCTTGGAGCACTTCCTGACTTTCTGGCATCACAGTCTGTCTCAGGCTCATCCTGTGTCCTTGATGTAGCTCAGAGTGCATGATTTCTGTAGGGATCCCTGGCTCCATTTGGTATATGCATGGGTCTCTGTGTGTACTGAGAACTGAGTTCACGCTGAAGCTGGTCTGTTACCACATGACTCATTCTGCTTCTCCTTACCTCTCACAGTTTGGTTCCTATTTTCTTAATATACTTACTGATTTATTCAGTCCTGGGATATACATAAAGTAGTTTCAGAATTTCTAATCCATATTCCTGTGAAAACCAGAGCTACTTACTATAGAATATAACATTTGTGTGCAGTTTTCATTTTTATGAAATGTATAGCCAAAATATAGAAGATATAATCAAAATATTTTTTCCAAAGTTGTTTTACAGTTTGCATTATTTAATTTTAATAATGTTAGATTCGGTTGTTTCTATTTCATTTAAAATCTATACAGATTTTAAGTTTCATGTTTTTTTTTTTTACCTGAAATATTTATGTGGTTCTAAAAGCCCATATAGTATTAAGTTCTTAACTCCAAGATTCAACTTCTTCTACCTCTTCTCCTCCTCCTCCTCCTCCTCCTCCTTCTTGTTTTATACAGCATATCTTTATTTTTATGTGGTGCTGAGGATGGAACCCAGTGCCTCACACCTTCTAGGAAAGTGCTCTGCCGCTGAGCCCCAGCCCCAGCCCCTTCTTTTTCATTTTATTTCTCATTTACTCACTTTTTCTTTTCTGGCAAATATAGATTCAAAGAAAACAGTGCAGCATGCCCCTCACAGGGGTGGTAATCCCTCCTCTAGTAGGTGCAGGGAGAAGAAGGGACTGGGAACCAAGTATCCCCCTGAAGGGCACATCCTCAGCCCCAGGGACCTAATTCCTCCAACTGGACCCTACTTCCCAGTTTCTTCCACTTCCCAGCAGCCTGTTGATCTATGAATCCATCAGTGGATTAATCCAGTGATGGGAGCCTCATGATCCAGTGCCTCCCCAATCCCCACCTCTGAACACTGCTGCACTGGGGACCCAGCCTTCATCACGGCAGCCTCTGCAGCCTTCCAGATTCCTCCACAGTGAGCACTTGGCAGCCAGGTGTGGTGGTCGCACCTGCAGTCCCAGCAGCTTGGAGGATCTTGAGTTCAAAGCCATCCTTGGTGACTTAGCAACACCTTGTCTCCAAATGAAATTTTTAAAAAGGCTGGGGATGTAGCTCATTGGTAGAGCAAATGTAATGCCCTGGATTTCATCTCTAGTGCTGCAAAAATAAATAGAAGAGGCGCTCGGCCCTGGGTCCCACTCCCTGCCCTGGTGATGATTTTGGCCCTGTGATGACTTACATGGCGCTATCCCGTAGACTCTTGCTACCTGGAAGAGCCAACCACCAAGCCTCTTCCTGGGTTGCTCCCATGCGCTGTGTTGGCTCTCCTGATGAAACTCCAGGCTCAGGGACAGCCCACCTGGCCCTGCCAGGGACCTCCCTGGGTTGGAGAGTTCTGGGGCTATTGCACATGCCACTCCACAGTGGCATCATCTTGGTGCTAGGGCATGTGCCAGCCTAGGGGTGACTGGACTGAGATTTTCTTTGCTGTATTTGCTAAGGAGGCTTATCTTTCAAATGGGGCCTCTGTTGCCTACACATCATTTTGGGGCCTGCAAGTTTCCCATGTGTGAGAAGTCATGGTTTTCACAAAGAATCATTTCCATCTTCCTAAAGCCAGAAATTTCTAAGAGCTTTTCAGACTCAACAGGAATACTTACAACATTCCAATTAAATTAAAGAGGGTTCAGAAGCACATTTGTTTTAGGCCGGGCGCTATGGAGGTTCGCAAGATCCAGGCCAGCCTCTGCAACTTAGTGAGGCCCTGTCTCAAAATGTAATAAGATTTTAAAAGGATTGGGGATGTAGCTCAGTGGTCGAGCACTTCTGGATTCAATCTCAGTACAGAAAGAAAAAGGCTTAGTGTTTTAAAAATGAGAAAAACCAGAGCGATGAGATGCAGGTCCTGTGTGTTTGCCTCTGACCCTGCTGGTTCTAAGACCATGTGCACCACTGGTGAAGTCCAGTTGACAGGGGTTCCCCGTCTCTGGAGGTTTCTTCTCTAGTTCCCCAGAAAACTCTGTGTAGTCCCTATTGAAAACCAAGTGCTTTCTGGGAACATCTGCTGGTTGGTTGACAGATTGGATCCAAACTGAATGGGTGATGTTTAAAGCCAGTTCATTTCAGCCTAGGCTTAGGGCTCTCCTTTGGAGATGTCTGCACAGAAGCAGGGCAGGCTGTCTGATGGGTAAGGAGGAAGAAGCACGGCACATCGGCTTCTTGCACTTGGGCCCTGAGCTCAGGGGGTCTCAAGCAGCTGGTTGATGGGGCTGGCAGAAGCTGGCTTCTTACCGGTGGATTGCACTCTCCTGTGGCCTGCAGACGCCCAGGGTCAAGATGATGCCACTGGCAGTACTTATTTTTTTTTAAATATTTTATTAGTTGTTGATGGACCTTGATTTATTTATATGTGGTGCTGAGGATCGGACCCAGTGCCTCACACATGCCAGGCCAGCGCTCTACCGCTGAGCCCCAGGCCAGTCCCTGGCAGTACTTATTGAGCTGCTCCTTCCTCTGTGTGGGTCACAGAGTCCTGGAGACAACACAGGGCAGAGGGAAGAATGGGCCTGGCCCCAGCGAGTTGAGGAGACCTCAGGGGAAGGAGTATCCCCAGTAAGAGGACCCAGGGCCTTTTAGTCAGAGCAACCTGTGTACAGAATAAAAATGTAAGCCCCGGGCTTGCTGGGAGCAGAGCTGACCGGGCAGGCAGGACTGCCCTCGGGTCTTTGTATGCTGTACCAAGGAGATTGGACTTGGTCAGAAGACAGCCAGGAGCAGAGGCCCAGCAGAACTGGATACCATGACCTGGTGTCCATACTGGAGGAGTGGCTTCTGTGGGTGGCCACCTGCATGTTGAATCGAGGAGCCTGACAGGAGCCTGGCGCAGGACAGGGCGCCTCGGGTGGTCCTCAGGAGGTGAGGCCTCAATCTGAGTCGTGGTGCTGTGGGATGACTCGGGAGACTGCCATGCCAGCCGCTCCTGTGCCTGTGCTGCTGGACTCCTGCACTGGCCCTGCACACGTGCTCCGCAGAGCGGTCACCAGGCGGAGCTGGGCAGACTGGCCAGCCAGGGCTGCTGCGCTACACTGGTCTGGGTTGGAAGGCCATGCGGCTGAGGGCAGCTGCAGCTCGGATGCAGTGGGGGCTTTCCTGGCTCTGCCTAGGCTCTGAGGGAGTGCGGTAGTGTGGGCAGAGCCCCGGGGTGGGTGGGAAGCCCTGGGCAGGTGTGTTTTAAAAAGATCCCTTTGGTAGCCACAAAAAGGTGAATGGCTCGTTCAGGTCTGAGCAAGAAGAGTGGGGGCTGAGGTGTGGGTGTGGTAAGTGCGGCAGGATGACCAAGCCCTTGGACAGGCCAGGGGAACTGAGAGGCGGAGGAAGGCGGAGGGTGGGTGCTGCTCAGGGGGTTGGTAGGGTCCCAGGAGCTGCGCTGGGCGGGCGTCTGGCAGCTCTGCAGCCCAGGGAGGCTGTGCCTGTGAGCGAGAGCTGCCCTGGCTGCCCAGCCTGGGTGGGAAAGTGCCTCTCCAGACCCCTGAGGCGCCCTGGCACCTCTGGTGATCATGGCCTGCTGACCTGCGCCTTCTGGGGGGCCTGTGTGTCTGCGGCCCCTCCCGCCCTCCTTACGGTCCGTGTCGCCAGCACTCGGCCTTCCTGGGCCCTGGGCCCTCTCCTTCTGCACAGCTGGCTCGCTCTCCTGCAGAGGGGCCCTAGATGGGCTGGGCCCTCGTTTTGCTCCCACAGCGACACCCTGTCCACATCCCACCAGGCCGGAAGTGCCCGTGCCTGTCCTCCACTGGACTGGAAGCACTTGGAGGCCATGCAGGCCCCTGTGCGCACACCAGAAAAGAGTGCCACTGGGTGTTTGTGTCCAGACAGAGTTCTCTCTGCTCAGGACCCCTGAAGGTTTGGAGCCACTAGTACCAGTTGTGAGAAACTGTCCTGTCTGCCACACGGGTGCCAGGGACCCCTATCTAGGAGGACAGTGAGGATGCTGTGCAGCCCCCACATCCCTGACCACTCCACTGCTGCCACCCAGGTTGAGCTGTCACTGCAGGGACCCCGGGCTCAAAGCCCTAAATAGTCCCTTACTATGTCCTCTCCAGGGAAATCTGTTCAGCTGCCCTTTGTGGCTCTTTGGTTACAAGGGGGACCTCCACAAAAAGTCTCCAGTTCTGATCGCGTTGCGGAGAATTGCCCTTCTTCTTTCTCATGACAGGTGCAGGAGGACAGTAGGTGGTCTCCACAGCCTTCAGAGGGTGGCTTTCTGGCTCCTGGGTCTCCGCGAGGTGTTCCCTTTCTGACTTGCTGCTCTAAACACTGTGGTCTGAGCTCGGAGAAGCCCAGGTGTTCCCACTGTCCACGGGGCACCCCCATTTCCTCGGTGAAATTGATAAAGCCCTTGTTTGATCAGTCCTGATGGTGGCGAAGGAAAGGACATGTGAGGACACAGGGAGATGGCGACTGTCTGCAAGCCAGAAAGAGAGGACTCACTCTGCCAGCACCTGATCATGGATCTCTAGCCTCAGAAATGTGACAGTAAAGTTCTGTTGTTTAAGCCCAAAAAAAAAAAATCGTGATGGTGGGTGCGGGCGAGTCTCCAGGTGCCCTGCCACCCTCAGGCCCTCAGGGTGAATGTGGTAGCAGGTCCTTGGCAGGTACAGAGACGAGAGGAAGAGGGTTTTAGAGACTTGGTGGCAGTTTGGCAAAATAGTTTTATGTTGTTGAATCTAATATTTTAAAAAATCGGACGCTAGCCAGATGTGTTACTGATTTTTGTTGTTTGTTCTTGTTACCTGTCACCTCAGGAGTGAAATGAACTTCGTGTCTCTAAAAGTCGTCTTTGTGCTGATTTCCAGGTCCCTTCTGGCCGAGTGCTGGAGTCCGTGTCCACACACACCACCCTGAGGTTCTCTGTGGCTGTTTGGCTGTTTGTTTGTTTGTTTTAATCTCCTTTAGATGTATGGACCTTTATTCTATTCGTTTATTTGCATGCGGGGCTGAGGCTCGAGCCCAGTGCCTCACACATGCTAGGCGAGCGCTCCACCCCGAGCCCCAGCCCGTTGGGGTTTGTGTCTGAGTGTCAGCTTTACTCGACCGGGCAGCGGGAGGCACTGGCCTGGGTTGCCAGCTCTCCGACTCTCCTGGGCTCCTCTGGCTCGCTGCCCGCCTGACCAGGAAGGCCTTCTGTGAATATGTCCTCATCACTTAGCTGAGAGGACCCGAGGCAGTGTTTTTAAGAAGCTGGCCCTTGCACTCTTTGAGACTGCCAGTCACCTTGCTCTGCTGGCCCTTCTGCAGTGAGAGGTCCATCAAATCAGGCGCTGTCACCGCCGTGTGCACCAGAGCTCTGCACCCTGCCTGCACACCCAGCCATGGTACCCAGGTGGGGTGCTGAGGACCTGTGTCCTGAGTCCTTTCCTTTAAGTGGCCTCAGGCCAGCAATGGGAGTCAAACCAGGAAGTCCCCAGCTCAGCAGGTTGGTGTGTCAGAAGCCACCCCTGTCTGTTGGGTGCGGGCGAGTCTCCAGGTGCTCTGCCAAGGAGCAGGCCCTCAGGGTGAATGTGGTAGCAGGTCCTTGGCAGGTACAGAGACGAGAGGAAGAGGGTTTTACAGACTTGGTAGCAGTTTGGCAAAATAGTTTTATGTTGTTGAATCTAGTATTTTAAAAAATCGGATGTTACCTGCTAGGCCAGGTAACCTAGCAAGACCTTGTCACAAAAACAAAGTGGACTTCTATAGCATGAACGTTTTTATTGTATTTTTTTGGTACCGGGGATTGAACCCAGGGGCACTTAGCCACTGAGCCACATGCCCAGCCCTTTTTAAATTTTTTATTTAGATATAGTGTCTCACTACACTTAACTGTCATGTATATCTAAAAGCAACAACAACAACAAAATGATATGCTATTCGTGTGTGTAAAAGAAAAAAAGAAATAGGGCCTCATTGAGGCTGACTTGGAACCTTCGATCCTCCTGCCTCAGCCTCCTGAGCCCCTGGGATTACAGGTGCCACCACACCTGGCCTCTTTTCTTTCTTTGCATCATTTTTTCCCCAGCATTTTATTTCTTGTTTTACCAAAATGTCAGGCCACATTGGATAGGAAATAAAAGAACAGAGATTCACTACCCTGCAGCTCAGGCCCCCAGCAACAGAGCACAGGTCGGGCAGGGAGCTGGTGCTCAGAGTCGCTGCAGCCCGGTTTCTCCACAGACAAGTGAAGTGCACACTTCACAGAGCTCCTAAGAGCCCTGCTCTCAGGGGTGTGCAAACCTTGAGATTCCCAACTTTCCTCCCTCTTCCTCTTCTGGGTTCACTGCCTCACCCCTGTTATAGGGAGGGGAGGATGGAAGCCCAGGCTGCAGGACACACCGGTCCTTGATGTCTAAGTCCAGCGCTGACAATGGCCTTGGGGCTCCCGTGCTTCAGAACCTGTGCATGACCAGACAGCTAATACCTGACCCAGAGCTTCGTCTGGCTGTGCTGACCGGGGCTCGGGGAGCACAGAGGGCATCGGGGAAGGAAAGCTGGGTCCCTTATGGCTCGCGGGCCCTGCTCCTTCTCTTTGCTGCAGCTGCTGTCATGCTGCCGTTGTGCTCAGAGAAGACCCTGAGCGAGATGCTGAGCCGCAAGGAGGAGGAGTGGCGGGTGCTGCAGGCCCGTCACTCCCAGATGCAGGAGGCAGCTCTGCAGGGTGCACAGAAGCAGCTGGAAGAGGCCCAGGGGAAGCTGCGTCGCCTGCAGGAGGACTTCCTTTACAACCTGCGGGTGCTGGAGGAGCGGGACCTGGAGCTGCAGCACTATGACGCTGCGCTTGCCCAGGCCAGGGGCCAGGAGGAGGCCCGGCAGGCAGAGGTGAGCGCGCTGAAGGTGCAGGTGGCCAGGCTGGAGCAGGAGCTGGCCAGAGAGGCCAGGCGCGCGCAGGAGCTGCAGCAGCAGCAGCAGCGGAGGGCGCAGGAGCACCGCCAGGAGCTGGAGCGCGTCCACAGGTGAGCCCCGCTGCGCCCGCCCGCACCCCGCCCCGAGCTGAGACCCCGGTTCAGGGCTCGGGCCTCAGTGGCCAGTGCCTGATGCGCAAAGGCAGGTAGGACAGGGCCTGGAAGGCCTCTTTCTGGGTTTTCACGCGGCTCTGAAGTTACCCAGGATCTGGTTCAGATACTCAGAACTTGATTCACTAACTAGAGGTCAGTGCTATTTTAATGAATCATTTAAGTCTATGATTAATGTGAAATAGATATTAATTTCGAAACTCAAGGAGCTGCTGGGCGTGGTGGCACACGCTGTGACCCCGGCAACTCCGGAGGCTGAGGCAGGAGGCTCCCAGGCTTGAAGCCACCTGGGCAACTTAGCAAGACCCTGTCTCAGAAGGAAAAATAGAAAAAAAAAAAAGCTGGGGTGTGGCCCGGGCTGAAGTGCCCCTCGGTTTAATTCTCACACCAAAAACGAATTGAACGAATGGGTAGAAGTGCTCTGCTCTTCTGTGACGTGTCCCTCCAGAGCTGGGATTCCAGGCCCAGTCCCACGCTGCCCTTCCCACCCTGGTGTCCCACTAGCATGAGTGGTAGGCCTTGTCACTGTCCCGCAGGTCCCTAGGCCTCTACTCGTTTTGTTTCTTCAAGTTTATTTTCTTTCCTTTGTTGAGATGAGGTGATTCCAAGTTCACTCGTTCTGTCCTCTGTCATATTCATTCTGCTCCTGAACTCACCCAGGGAATCATTTATCTTGGTCGTTGTACTTTTTGGTTGTCAAATTTCCATTGAATTCTTTTGTTATATCTGTTTCTCTGCTGAGATTTTCTGTGTTTTTCTTTTTTTTTTTTTTTTGATTGCTTGTTCACACCGGTGTCATCTTGGTGTTGGCCACTGGGTTTTTTTTAGGGGGGGGCGGTTTTGGTATCAGGGATTGAGCTCAGGGGCACCGGACCACCTAGCCACACCCCCAGCCCTGTTTTGTGTTTTATTTACAGGCAGGTCTCACTGAGTTGCTTAGCGCCTCGCTTTTGCTGAGGCTGGCTTTGAGCTTATAACCCTCCTGCCTCAGCCTCCCGAGCCACTGGGATTGCAGGCGTGGCCACCGTGCCTGGCGGTGTCCGCCACCGTGCCTGGCAGTGTTGGCCACTGTTGACAAAGACTTTGCCTGAGTCCTGGAAGTCAAGGGATTTGGGGTTTCCATGTTTTGCTTTCTCTCTTGCTGGCGGTCACCTGGCCAGGTGGAGTAGAGGTCCTGCTACCTCTGCCCACTGTATCCCTGTGCAAATGTGAAGCACCAGCTGCATGCGCAGGGGTGCCTGTGAGCACGTGTGGTGTGGTCTCTCAGTGCTGTGTCTGGTTACCACAGTGACAAGAACGGCGAGATCAGCCACCAGCGGGAGCAGTATGAGAATCTCAAGTGGAGGCTGGAGAGGAAGCTCGAGGAACTGGACGGCGAGCTTGCTCTGCAGAGACAGGTAGTGCCTGCTGCCCCGCTGCCCACTGCAAACCTGGGCTGCACAGGGTTCCCAGGCAGAGAGCCTGGTTCTGCCCACCGGAGGACTTCCCTTGACCACTGTCCTTCACGGACATCCCAGAGATGTCCTTATGCTGTGGCTGTCCACTTTCAGGTCATGCAGACCATCTATTGACCAGGTGCAAGCCATCCTTTTCTGGGTCGAGGGCTGATAGAGACGCCCCTGAGCCAGAGGTGCAGGCTGGGAGAGAGAAGGCAGGGCTCAGACGTGGGAGCGATGGGCATTTGGGCCGCTCCTTCCCATAACTGCCCTGTGTCTTCAGCTTGCTGGGGCCTGACCATGTGGACACCATTTCTGTTTGATGATGGTCTGTTAGTGCACGGGCCAAGCTTTCTGGCTCAGAAGGTCAGTTCGAGTGTTCGGCTCTGTGAGTCCCAGTAGCAAGCCAAGAGCTCTCTCGGAAGGAGAGCCTTTGTCTGTGGATGGCAGCAGGCCCCACTCCCCAGCCCTCAAGGCAGAGGCTGCCAAAGCCCCTGGCAGCACCCGTGTCTGCCACTCCCCTCAGGCCCCAGTGCGAGGGCTGGACACTAGGCCCAGGTGGCAGAGCCACCTCTCTTGTTCAGAGCCTTCTCCTGCTCTGGCCTCACTCAAAATGGTGACTTCAGGCTGCTCAGTAAGTGGGCAGAGTGACACTTCCAGTGGGGAGTAGGTGGCCTCAGATCTGAAGAGGTGCACTGGGCCTTCTGCCTCTTCCTTGGATGTGGGGGAAGCAGACGCAGCGACACAGCCTCCACCTGGGAAGGGGCAGCTTGGCGTGCCCCCAGGCCCCCGCAGTTCAGAGGTGCAGGCCCTGGAACTCCACTCTTCTGCCTCCCACTGGGTCCTGCAGCACAGTGCCGCCAGGGGGATGGGCCAGTGCGTCTTCAGGGAGGGGACGGTTGCCAGTTTCTGTTCTCGAGACTGAAAGGCTCAGGGGTCACTCTAGTTAAACTGGGCTCACTGGGCTGCACGAAATAACCACACAAGAGACACAAAGACCTTTTTCTTTGGGGTTGCTGTGATGGCTCCTCTGACCTTAAGGGTCCGCAGAAAGAGAGAGAGAGAGAGAGAGAGAGAGAGAGAGAGAGAGAGAGCATATACTGACCCCTTTTATTGAGGAGAAGCTATTCAAATGAGGCAAGGGGTCAGGTTTCAGGGGGCACAGTCTATCTTCATGATGTCCACTGTCAGCAGGTTGACTGACACCTGGGTAGGCCACACCCAAGGGCACAGTAAGAGGAGGGGACACACACAAGGCACTTCCATGGAAGATTCTATCCTAAACAGGGCAAGGGGTTATATTACAAAGGAACAGGTGAGTGTAGCTCCACCCATGGGGCTCTAGCAAGACACACCCATTTCTGTGACCGAGCGCCTCAGCACCCAGCTGGGGAGTGTAACTCAGTCACCGGTAAGGTTGGCCTCCCACAGACGGTGGCTGAGCGCTCTGGAGAGCCACATGCCCTCAGGTAGGAGGCCTGAAATGTGTGGTTAAGAGAAGACGGGTTGTGACTTGTGAGTTACAGGGTTCCTCAGTGGTGCCACGGTCACCTCCAAAGAAGCTCCATCCAGGGCTGGTTCCCACTGGCAGGCGGGCAGGCAGGCAGGCGCTGCCCCCTGGCATTTGGCTTCCCAGGCTGCCCACCTGCAGAAGAAACGCTTAGGCCAAGCAGGCACATTCTGGTGGTCTCTTACAGACCCCTACATAGTTCCTATCCCTTGAGGTGGCAGCCCGTCCCTGGAAGCAGGAAAAGGGGACGCGCTGACACATGCAGGGGGTCTCTCCTGGGTAGTGTCAGCCCAGGGCGGCTCTGGGGTGGCCTGTGATGACGCCCCACCGTCAGTCTCCACTATCAAGTGGGGGTCTCCCATGCTGGCCAGCCTGCCATGCTGTCTCTGACCTCAGAAGCTCTTGGTGTGGTCATGGGTGGGTCAGGGTGGAATTTATCCAGTGAGGATGACGGTTCTTGTCCTCAACTCTGAAGTGAGGTGGTGGTACTGGGAGGTCTGTCACCTTGGTCATACATGCAAGCTGCGGTCTCTGGAGGAAGGAAGTCTTTGCCCGTTGGTCAGTCGCAGGCGAGGAGCCACTGGAGGAGGCACCAGATGATTACTGATTTATTCATTCATATAACAAGCTTTTTTTGCTTTTTAAACACAAACTACATGCCTGGAGGTCTCCCATGTTCTGGAGTTGAGTGTGAACCCCTGGACGTGCCTGGACTCACCTGTCTTCACAGAGCAGGCTGACACTGAAGTGTAGGTGACCCCCTGAGCCTCTGCAGCATCTGTCGCCCTGGCCTGGCCAACGGCATTGCCTTCTGCGGACACAGGGAAGGCTCAGGAGTGCCAAGGTGGGGTGGCACACAACTTCTGAACAGGGCAGTCAGAAAGGCCCCCTGAGAGCTGCAGGGTGGCTCAGGGGGAGGGAGGCAGGCGCTTCCAAGCTGGGACCTCGAAGGGAGCCGTCAAGCCCAGGAGCACGGAGGTGGAGGCAGGCCTGCAGGCCTCAGGCCTTTGTGAGGATGACCTGAGAAGTTGCTGGTTTGAGCAGAGCAGTGTGAGTCGCCCAGCTCAAGGACAGCAGGCTGCGGCAGAAGTAGCTGGTGGGGTGCTGGGAGGGCCCAGGGGATGGGGCCGTGCTGGCAAGGACAGGGTGCACCAACAGGGGAAACCAGGGGACGTCGCACAAGTTGGGCTGAGTGGCGGTGCCAGAGCCTGGTCAGACAGGCTGGTGTGGCGTCCCAGGAGAGGACCGTGCAGGGAGCAGCTTGAGGTGGGCTGGGATGGCCCACAAGGGGAGCCTGGCTGTGGTTCTGTCTGGGCCGGGGAGGCACAGTGGTGTGGGTCTCCTGCACCCTAGTGGCCACAGCCTGTCTGTCCAGATGTGGCCCCTGTGTGTGGGCCCTTGCAGGAGCTAGGACTGTTTCCTGCCCGTTTCACTTGGCTCAGGTACACTCAGGGTGTACTGCTGCTGGCGCAGGGTTGCCCCTGCGTTGCCAGGTGGTCATGTGCATCCTGCCTGCCAGGGCAGAGGGTACTTAGCACGGTGGGAGCAGACAGAAGCCTCCCTCCAGGGCACTGAGTTTGGTGGGAGTGGGAGGTCCTCAGGGAGGCTCGGTGGGCAAGCTCTTGAGGGTCCCTGTGCTCTCAGTCTCAGTCCTTGAGCAGCGAGTGCTCCATCTACACCCAGGGCCTTCCCTCTGCGCCGAGCAAAACCCAGCGAAAGGGCACAGTAGCCATGTCGCAGTGTCTGAGTCCCTGCTCTGATGTCCTAAGGGTGCCTGGCGCTGGGTAATGTGTGAGGAAATGAGGTTCCCTTGGCTCACGATTGACGTGGCTGGAGGCTCCACAGCCTGACACTGGCATCTGGAGAAGCCCTCTGGCTGGTCACAACATGTTGGCAAAATCAACAGGGGACATGAGCAGAAGGGGCATGTGGTCAACCGGGAAGCAAGAGACCAGGGCAGGCCAGGCTTGTCCTCTACAAAGGACCTGTAGGAGCCAGTCCCTGCCTGTGAGAGCTGTGGCAGCCCTCTGAGGGCCCCAGGCACTCATCATCCAGAGGCCACCCCAGTGCTGCCGCAGTGCGGCTCAGGCTTCCAGCACATGGGTGAGTGGGGGCAGGCCACATTCAGACTGTACACCCTCCCGGCACTGGCCTTTGAGTTGTTCGTGCAAACACTTGTGTCCCAGTGCGCTGTGGCAGGAGGTCCAGGCGGTGGCCATGGCCCACCAGTGCTCCCCCATGGGCCCCTGACTTCTCAGTGGCAGCTGAGGGCTGTGTCCACCTACCCTGACCTAGATGTGCTGGCCCCGCTGTCCTTTCAGTGTGAGTCCTTTTTGTTTCAGGAACTGCTGCTGGAATTCGAGTCTGAAATGCAGAAGAGGGAGCATGAGTTCCGACTGCAGGCTGATGGCATGAGCAGTGTGGTGTTGTCCCATGAGCTCAAGGTACTGCACCTCTGCCTGGGAAAGCTGTCCTCATCAGCAGGGATACCTCTTCCTGAGTGGCGGGCGACTTCTGCCCTGCGAGCCAGACAGCTCACTCAAAGACTGCAGCAGGCTCTGTGGTGCCGCCTCCGTCAGTCTCTCCATCTCAGTCCAGCAACCTGAAGCCTTGAGAGGGTGCCCTCCCTCCACTGTCAGCTCCCAGCCTCCTGCAGCCTGCCCTGCTGTCGGCCTTCTCAACGTGGGCTGGTGGGGGTCTCCCCACTTTACCGCAAGCCTTGGAAGCCAAGGCTCAGGGGGTCAGGGCCTGCCTGGAGCTAGCAACTGATGCATGGCCCAGCTGCAGCCATAGCCTTGCTTGGGGGCAGAGTGCGGCTGCCACTGTGTGCACACAGACTAAGCACCCCGGACAGTGCCAGGACACAGCTCACCTCGAGGAGTGAACACAAGGGCCAGCTTGAGTGCCCCTGCTGCGGGAACAGTAGGTGGCTCTTGGCCTGGCCCCTGCTGCTCAGGCACAGGGCCTATCCCCAAGTCTCCCAGACCCCCACTCCCACCCCGGAGGCTCAGTACCAAGTTCTCAGCCAGAGCCCAGAGCTGTCTGGGGCTTGAGGCCAGGGCTGCCACACAGGGATCCTCACGAGGCTGCTTTGGGGGTCTCTAAGCCTAAAGAGAGAAGAGGTAGGCCGTATGGATGTCCTGGGTGCTATGATGGGGCCGGGCTCACAGGTGAGGACCCTGAGGTGCCTGCTCTCAGCTCTGTCTGCTGCATAAGGTAGCACACCTCAAGTACCTGCCACATAAGAGGGTTGCCTATGTGGACACTGCTGCCCCGGCCTGGCAGCCACCCTGGCCCAACAGCTGCCCTCACACTCGTCTTGTACAGGTGGGAGGGAGGCCAGGGCTCATCTGAGCAGCACTCAGAGGGGCCCGAGGGTGGACTGTGAGCAGCACTGACTTCCTTGCTCTGTGTTCGATTTCAGTATCTGAATGAGGATCAAGTTCTGTGTTGAGAAATGAGTAGTCTCAGTTGGTCAGGTGCAGGTGGGCAGGGGAGGGGGCCCTCAGAGGTCCTGGGTGTCTCTGTGTTCTCGTCGGGATGGCATGAGGACCTTCTTCCTGTTTGCTGCTGCCCTCTCCTGGTGAAGCAGCCGTTTACCTCTGGAGTCTCGGTTTATTCCAGTTGCATCCTCCTTTTGAGTGTTCACATGTTTCGTTGACACACGGTGTAGTGTGACGTGTGTGGTCACACAGGGAGGTTGGCACGTCTCCACCTCAGGCGCCTGTTGCCTCCAGTGGTGGGGACCTTCAGGCCCGCTGCGTTCACTGCTCTGAAACGTCCAGGTGGCGGTTATCAGCACAGCCACGCAGCACTGGAGAGAGTGCAGTCCTTCCTCCTCCTGTCCCGCTGCCCGCCTCTGAACTTGTGAAGTCTTCCTCAGGTTAAGCTACTGAGCAAAGAGCTGGGGGCTCTGAAGGAAGCAGGGGCCCAGGCAGCAGAGTGTCTGCAGAGAGCCGAGACGGCCAACGCCGAGCTGGAGAAGCAGTTGCAGGGCCGCGCCTGGGAGCTGCGGGACCTGGAAGCCCTGAAGGACGCCCGGTGGGTGGCCCTCCTCCTCCCGGGCAGCGGGCAGCGGGCAGCGTGCCTGCTGGGCTGGACCCCTGGGTCTGCCCTTCGCTGGCTCCAGGCCAGGTCCTGCTAGCTCCTTACCTGTTCTTGCTGTCACCTCTGTTTAGGATAAAGGACTTGGAGGATAAGCTTCACTCTGTGCAGCTGACCAGGAAGAAAGAAGAGGAGATCTTCGAGAGGAAGTGAGCCTCTCTGCGTGTCGGAGCCAGGTCACACAGCTGAGCCAGCCCTCCGGGAGCAGGCCACAGCAGAGCACGTGTCCCCCGTGGAGTGGCTGCCGGGGCCTGGCTCAGCGTAGAGATGCCCTGAGCATGCTGGAGGTCCAGGGCTTGACCCCAGCACTGGAGACACTTCAGAACACTTGCAAAGCCTCAGTTGAAAGTTAGCTTTTGAAACCTGGAAATTTTACTGACCAGCTCATCAGTTTTAGTTTATAGCTACAGATGACCTTTTTTTTTTTTTGTGGTGCTGGGGATTGAACCCAGGGCCTTGTGCATACAAGGCAAGCACTCTACCAACTGAGCTATATCCCCAGCCCCAGTATCTCAAAATGTAAAAGGGAACAGGTCACTGTGAGCCACACCTGTAATCCCAGATGCTTAGGAGGCTGAGGCAGGAGGATTTACATTCAAGCACAACCTGGGCAACTTAATGAAAAATTGGAAAAGGATGGGGTGCAAGCTCAGTGGTAGAGCGCTTGCCTAGCACATGTGAGGCCCTGATTTCAGTCTCCAGAACCACAATAAAAGAAAGAAACCTTGTTTGGTTACTCTTCCAAATGCACCTAGGGACATCTAAACACACGGTGACCTGGCACCTGCCTCGCTGATTCAGAAAGCACCCACGGCTTTCCTCTTGCACCCTACACCATGCCCTTCATCCTTGGACCCCCGCTCCCAATCCTTGGACCCATGCTCCCAATCCTCATAGGAATTACTTGAATATATTTTTTATGCTGGTAAAAATTTGTAATCAATCACCCTAATAATATTTAAAGTAAAACTCAAACTTGCTGGGGTCACCAGGTGCTGACCTTGTGAAGGGTTTCTAAATTAAGGTATAATTATTAGTCTGCAGTCCACAAGACCACACCGTTCATCATAAGATCAGTAACTACTAAGTGGGATGCACAGCACCGTGGGAGCGCCTTCCTACTGAGGTGCGTGGACTCCCCAGCCAGCCTGCGTGCCTGGCTGAGGCCTGGTCCCTGCAGGGCTGGCAGAGCCGAGTGGGTCCCACCTCCTTCCAGGTTATGCACCAGACACCTAGTGACCTCCAGCAAGAATGGTGGCAGACGACCCGTCTGCTGATGAGTTGAGGGGCTCCTCACCTTGGTGACTGCAGAGAGCAGGTGGGGACCTGCTCACCAAGGGTTAGCAGGACCCTTCACTGGCCAGTTAGGAGATTGTGTGAGAAGCCCCAGCCAGACTCCGCCCGGCCCCTCGCCCCCATGCTGCTGCTGCTGCTGCTGCTCTGCTGGGAGGCACCTGGAATGCCCAGGGGCTGGTGGGGGGGAGGGCCAAAGCCTGCTGCCCGAGGGCACCAGCCGAGCTCTGGGGAGACGGAGTGCCTTTGCCTCCTCAGGAATTATGCCATCGCCGACCTCAGACTGGCAGACTGGGTCTCAGAGTAGGGAACACATCCCCAGTCGGCAAACTGGCAAAGCATGTCCTTGCTGGGACACAGGGTCCTGCCAGGCGTGTGCTGCAGGCCGCCCCTCGCCAGTGCCTTTATGGCATTTGGGGTGATGTCGAGGGGCCTCCAAATCGCCAGACGGAGCTTGCAGCCTGTTAGGAAAGCAGGCTTTCCTAACGACGGACTCTCAGGGCCACTGAGCAGCAGGGCACCGCAGCGCTGGCGGCTAATGTCTGCGCTTTGCCCCCGGTGGTCCCGGAGCTGTGGTGGTGGAGCCAGGTGTGTGCTTTACGCCTCTGACCTGGGGCGCTCAGGAGTGTCTGTGCCATGTGGGAGGAGTGGTAACGAATGTCCCCAGCAGCAGTCACCACCTCAGGGACAAGGTGCAGCCGTGACCGTGGTCTGGGGAAGGCTGCTGAGTGCAGCTCTGGGTGACACACGGTGGGCCCTTCCCTGTGGTTCAGGCACGAGGAGCTTGACCGTTTGGCCAGGGAGAGGGACGCGATGCTGGTGGCTGTGAAGGGCACACATGCGGAGCAGCTGCGGGCACTGGAGGCCAGGGTACTAGAGCTGCAGGCCCATGGTGAAGCCCTGGAGGTGCAGCTGCGCAGGGCGGAGTGGACTCAGGCTGACGCCGCCAGGGAGAAGGACGCTGTCATTGACAGGTGAGCTTACAGCTTGCTGCTGCCTCCACCCAAGGGGTGCTGGGGCCCTGGGGTGTTGGGCTCCCGGGTGGGCTCCTGCCACCTCACACAGAGGGAGGTGGGCCTGCAGCTGGTGGGTGACTTCTGTAGCTGCCAGGTCATTTTTCTTAATGATTCTTCTGTCATTTCTGTTTGCTTGTTTGATTGATGGATTGCAGTACTGGGGATTGAACCCAGGAATGCTCTACTACAGAGCTTCATCCCAGGAACACCCCCACCACCGCTGATGTTTAGTTACGGATGGACACAATACCTTTATTTTATTTATTTATTTTTATGCAACGCTGAGGATCAAATCCAGTGCCTCGTACATGCTAGGCAAGCGCTCTACCATGGAGCTAAAACCCCAGCCCCATCCTAGCCCTCCTTGCTAAGTTGCTTAGGACTTGGCTAAGTTGCTGAGGCTGGCCTTGAACTTGCGATCCTCCTGCCTCAGCCTTCTAAGTTGCTGGGGTGACAGGCACGTGCCACTGTGCAGGGCTCAGTTTTTTCCCATATGTAGTTTCTGTGTGCATAAGTGTGCATTTATCATTTGTGGTAAAGTATGCACAATAAAATTTGTCATTTAAGAAAATTTACAGGCTGGGGATGTGGCTCAAGTGGTAGCACGCTCGCCTAGCATGCGTGAGGCACTGGGTTCGATTCTCAGCACCACATAAAAACAAAATAAAGATATTGTATCCAACTAAAAAATAAATATTAAAAAAATAAATGAAAAATTAAAAAACTTATTATTTTCAGCCAGGTGTGGTGGTGCACACTTGTAATCCCAGCTACTCAGGAGGCTGAGGCAGCGGATCAAGAGTCTGAGGTTATGTGGCTGGAGTTGTGGCTCAGCGGTAGAGCGCTCGCCTAGCTTGTGCGAGGCCCTGGGCCCTGGGTTCCATCCTCAGCACCATATAAAAATCATGAATAGAATAAAGGTATTTAAAAAAGAGAGAGAGTTTGAGGTCAGCCTGGGTAACTTGGTGATGCCTGGACTCAAAATAAAGAAGGCTGTGGATATGGCTCAGTGGTAGAGCACCCCTGGGTTCAGTCCCCAGGATCAAAAAAAAAAAATAGACATACAACATGAACCATCTTAGTGACTTGAGGGTCACAGCTCGTGGTCAGTAAGGCGGGCTTGTCCTCTGTATGGCAGCACCGCGTGTCATCCACCTGTTGCTTAACATGTGGGTCCTTTCCACCTTTAGCTCTGTGTCTTTCTGGGACTCTGCCCAGGTGTGCAGCTGCAGCTCGCGTGACCCTGCGCTTACCTTTGGAGTCACCCCTTTCGGTTTCCACAGGGCTGTCTTCTCCCCACCAGCGTGCACATTGTTTCCACTGAGCCCAGTTCCTTTCTGATATTCAAGCCAAGCCGTGGCAGGTTAGCAGCTCTGTCCAGTTGTGCCCAGTTTCCAGGGAGAGGTGTCTCCAAGGAAGCCATTGCGGTGACCCTTGGACACCATGTTCACAGAGACATTGAGGACCCATAAGGCATTCGCTGATGCTTAGAACCTCTTGGGACTTCTCTTTTGTGCCGAGCATTCTCTGCTCAGTTGTATTCTTAGTTGAGAGGAAGATGCCTCTTGGGACTGTGAGACGCAGGGTGGGGGCTGCGCAGGAGAACCTCCCCGGGTGTGCCTCTCCCTGTTCCCAGTCAAGTTCAAGCAGCAGTCAGGGGGACGCCTGGCACTGAACCCAGCAACCTGGGACTATGCTGTGTGCTCCTGCAAGGTGTCCTATGGAGCCTTGTCTTAGGCTCAGTCTGAAATTGTGTGTCGCATGTCCTCGTGTGTGAGCTGCTGTGCTGGGCATAGCTAGGGCTGCAGAAATGCGGTGGCTGGACAGGGCCACCTCCAGCGGGTGGCCTTGCAGGACACATCCCTATGTACTATGTTCAGCAATGTCTGGTAGCTGGGCTGGCTGGCTGGCAGTCCTTCTGGGTAGAACCGTCGCCTGGGTCCAGGTGGGGACGTGGGCTCTGGTGTTCCTGAAGAGCTGATGTGCAGAAGTGCTGAGGGGTGGAGGGGGACAAGTGGCAAGCACACCGCATCCCCGGGCCTTCCGTCCAGGCTCCGTGAAGACGCAGCTGCTCTCAAAGCCAGCTGGGACGCCCAGGTCACTCAGATGTCCAAGGAGGCCATCGCCAAAGACCTTCAGGTTCAGACACTGCGGGAAGAGGAGGTGAAGCTCAAGGCACAGTTGGCCCGACGCCAGCAGGATGTGGCCAGGTAATGTCCCCAGGGCAGCCATTTCTGTGAGCGCCTGCTGCAGGCAGGAACCACTCCAGTCCTGAGGAGTCCAGCTGCACAGCCCAGTCCTGGCCTGGCCTTCTTTGAGGAGAAACGAGAAAGCAGAAAACAGTGTGGTAGTGAGGGGCTGAGGAGGGTGGCAGGGCGTGCCCAGGGCCACGCGGGGGCCTCCTCCAGCAGCAGAGCCGAGCAGGCCTGAGCCCAGGGTTCTGTGCGGGCCTTGCCTGTGTCCTTGGCGTGCTGGTTAGGGTCCTGGGGTTCCTCCAGCTTTCCACTGGGTGCTCTTCTCTGTAGTTTGTAAGGTCAGCTTCACAGAGAGCAACTCGGATGTAGTGGACGTGCCCACTCCAACTGCACAGCTGTGTGGCCTGTCACCGCCACACAGCCACCCCAGGCTCCTCAGCCCCCACGGTGGGCTCTGTCTGCAGAGGAGCAGCCTGGTCCGAGTTCCCGGCGCTGGAGTCCACGGCGCTGGGCTTGTATCTGGCTTCTTTGACTTAGCACCCTCTTTTGAGAGGAGTGGGTGTTGCAGGCACAGGCTGTGCTTCTCTCTGCGGAAGTGTCCGAGGCACACGATTCGCTTCCCCTTTTCCCTTTTCTGTTTTTCCGACGTCCACTTGGTGACTTGTGTCCGTCCATTTCACCTGGCTGTTACCTTGAAGGCACAAGACTGCCCATGGTGGCCCTTTATTATGCTTTGAATACATGGGAGGTGAGTGTCAGCCGCGCTCGTCTGGGTACCGGTTTCCAGTTTCTCTTTCCTCTCCCTCAGCCTACTCGAGGGCTGCTGATCTGTCAGTCTTTGTTTTTGTCTTAACCTTCTCACTGTTGTTCTCTTTCCAGTTTCATGGCGCTCGCTCTGTCCGTTTCCTTGGGTTCGTTTGGCTTGCTGTGTTTCCCATGGACCCTGATGGCAGGAGCCGACGGCAGTTCTGAGCACCCTCTGGGGCTGGAGTAGAGCTCAGCTGCACCCCACGGTTCTGACGCCGCGCAGACGCGGTGTGGTGGCTCGCATTCTGTGTCTCCGCAGTTCAGGAAGGGTGGCCTCCTTTCCCATCACTCTGAGGTTTCTGAGCGCCCTTTTCTTCTGTTTCTAGTCTGATCTGCTTGCTCCCCTCTGCTCCTCGGTCTTGTGGCTTTGAAACCTGCTCCGGCCCAGTGACTAGCCCCTTGGAGAAGGCTCAGTCCTTGTAGGTTCAGGCAGAGAACTGCACACAGGCCCTGGGGCGGGGGCGCCTTCTGTCTCTGGTGTCCTCATGGCCATCTTCTGGCCAGCAGCTGAGAGAGGCCCGGAAATCTGTAGCTGTGACTGGATCCCCTTTCCACCGTCGCCGCAGCCACTGGAGTAAAGTTCTTGGCCAAGCGAGGGCACTCGGCGTCGTCCTGGCTTCTCGACAGCTGGCCTTTCTCTGGTAGAACCAGCTCCTCACCTGGACGGTGGTCTCTGCCCTGCACACTGCCGGCGTCCGGCGCAGGCCCCCCTCGTGCCACACAGGCCTGTCTCTGCTCTGCCGCGCTGGCGGCAGCTGGGGCTCGGTCCTGCTGCTGCTCGCCTGCTGCCCTCACAGGGTCCGGACAGCGCAGCTTTTTGTCTGTTAGGGTCACCCCTTCTCTTCCTGTATACCTGGAACTTGTCTCCTGAGTGTGACCACCCTTCGCGGCGTTGGGTTTTCTCAGTGTTGGGTGATCTTTGACATCTGCCCATCTGCCATCTGCAGACATGTTGTTGGCCATCTGCAGATGCCGTTTCTCCTCCGAGTCTTGAAGCCCGTGGCGGGTGCAGTGGAGCCCTACAGGAGGCACCCCACCTCTGCTCTTCATGTGGAAGGAACCTCAAGCCACGCTAATGTGGGCGTTTGGATGTGCCACAGGTACAAGCAGGAACTGTCCCTGGCAGTGGAAAGGGAGAGGAACCTGGGGCGCGAGCAGGTGCAGCTGAACCTGGACTGGCAGCGCCGCTGCGACAGCATCGAGAGGGAACAGATCCAGAGGTCTGAGGCCTTGACCCAGGGCCTGCTGGAGGCCAGAGATCAGGTGTGTGTGGTGCTGCGGGGCGCAGGCTTCCCCAGGAGGGGCTTCTGGAGGAGGAGGGCCGGGAGCACGGGCAGTGCCTGGCAGAGGCCTCACTGAGCAGCTATGACCGTGCCCTGCCGCCCCTGCAGCCCCTGCAGCCCCTGCAGCGGGTCATCGCGTTGCGGTGTGCACTGGTACAGGGTGGGACTGGTCCTGCCTCCTGTGGGCTGCCCTCCTGGCGAGGGCACCCTGGTGGCCAGGCCTGGAAGGTGGAAGTCCGCTGCCTGCCTCCGCAGACATGGCCGTGAGTTCTGAGTGCCAGGTGGCACCGGCCCTCAGGACTTTTCTCACCTGCACCTGCCATTTGCCTCTTAAGTGGAAAGCGGAGGCTGGTCTCAGGAACTGTGGCCAGTGCTGCCCGTCTCCACCAGGGATGTCTTCCCAGGTCACTGCCAAACTCCAGGAGACTGAGCGGGCCCTGCGTGAGCAGGAGGCGGTGCTGAGGGCCGTGACCCTGGAGCGGGACCAGGCTGTGGAGGCGCTGCAGGCACAGGGACTCCTCCCTGTGCAGGAGGTGAGCACACTTCCTCCCAGCTTCCTGCTCAGCAGGTACCGCGAATAGTGGGCCTTTCAGTCCTGTCCCTTCAGTGACTGGCTGTCAAACAAGCCTGAGTGTGGGACTTTGGAGAGTTCAAGTGGAGCCAGCGGGTGGCTGAGGCAGGAGGATTGCAAGCTCCTCTGCAATTTAGCCAGACCCATCTCAAAAACTAAACAGAGCACTTGCCTGGCATGTAGGAGCCGCTGGGGTCGATTCCCAGCACTGAAAAAAAAGAGTTAGAATAGGTACCTACACTGCTCAGCGCTCTTCAGAATCTTCTTTGTGTCTTTGCCTTTTTGTTTTTTTTTGGTGCTGGACATTTAACCCAGGGGAGCTCTACCGCTGAGTGACACCCCCAGCCCCCTCCCCCTCTATTTAAACTTTAAGACAGAATTACTTAAGACAGGTTACTGAGGCTGGCCTTGAACTTGCCAGCCTCCTGCCTTAGCCTCCTGGTCACTGGGATCACAGATGGGGGCTTTTAGTGCTTTAGCATTTGAAAGCACTAAAAGCCCCGAATTCAAATGCAACTTGAGGCTGGAGGTGTAGCCCAGGGATAGGTCACAGGCGTAGGCTTAGCTTGAGGAGAACCCTGGGTTCCGTCCCCAGTGCTGAAAAAGAACAAAATCCCAAATATGACTGGACAGAGGATGTTGATGCAGAATTATCATCCCAGTCTTTTCCTCATACCACATAGCGGGTCATTTCATGCCGTGTTGTCCTTGAAGCTCCTGGTGTTGATTGGCAGGGACAATAGTGGTCAATACTTGTTGAGCACCAAGCCTGTGCCACTGTGGTCAGTGACACACATCTGTCAGCCTGCTTCATCCTGCTCGGGCAATCTGTGTCCCCAGGCAGGGGCAGGGGCAGGGTCCCCAGGCAGGGGTCAGGGATCTGGTTTGGGAACAAGGCTCAGAAGCCACCTTCACCTGCATCCACTGGAGGGTGAGGCTGCACTTAGCATGACCCTTCTTAGAACATGTTGAGGCCACTAATGTCCCTTGAGGGACAGCCACTCCCCCTGTTGCCTGAGGTAGCAGAGGACTGAGTGCTTCGGGGGACCTTTCTGGGTGGGGCCTAGACCTGCCTCCTAGGTCTTCCCTCCCCTGCTGCCCACGGTCAGCCAGGGAGGCTGAGGGCAGGCAGGAGCCTTGCACTCCAGCGTGGCTCTTCCTCGAGCTCTTGGTAGCAGGCCGTCCTCCTGGCAGGGCAGCCCTGGGCCGGCTCCGGCCTCTCGGCTCCTGGTGCTGGGTGCTCGCCTGTGGCCCTGCTGTGGGCAGCGAGGTGCATGGGAGCTCAGCAGCAGAAGGCAGGGCCAGGCTGGCCGCCAGGGCCTCTTCCCTCCCCTGTGGGCAGATGCTGTCCCCACACTCAGTCAGAGTCCCAGGAGAGCATGTTGGACACACGCCGTGGGCAGCGAGCCCCAGGGGTAGAGTCAGACACCATGGCCAGGCTCAGGCCCCTTCCAGGGTGACCAGGGGCAGACGAGGGGGCATCTTCCTCTCGCCACACAGTGCCTGGGGGCTGGCAGCAGCAGCAGCCTGCGCCTCACTGCCCCGGGGAGGAAACGGAGGCTTTCGTTTTTGTCAGTGTTCTCCCGCCCCTGGCTGGCCACCAGAAGGAGACGCCGGTGCCTGGTCGGGGTCTGTCTCTGGCTTGGTCTTAGTGAAAAAGCGAGACCTGGAAGTGGGCTGGGATCAGAAACAGTCACGTCACACCTGTGAAACACCCTTCGTCTCGGACCCAGGCCCAGCTGAGACCCCGCGGCTGCAGCGTGGAAGCTCCCACTGAGCCCGAGCTGCCCTGGAGACAGACGGTGCCCAGAGGCCCTCTGCAGACTGTCCAGCTCTGATGGAGCCTGGCTTCAGGGCCAGGGTGCAGTGGGGAGAGGCCGTGGCAGCTCCTGGCTGACAGCACTGCATGAGGTGACGACAGAAGCCTGCTCCGACAGACAGCAGCGCGGGAGCAGTGGCTGCCGCCAGGTGCTGAGGAGGTCGGGGAGCAGGGGGCATGGAGTTGGGTTCTGGAGGCTTCTCTGAGGCCAGTGCAGAGGCAACCCCCGCGGAGCAGCAGGTGCTGCCTGTGTGCGGCAGGCAGGAGAGTGGGGAGGCAGGCAGCCAGGCGGCCAGGACGTCTGCTGCACGGGCTGCCTTTCGGCCTGCCTGACACCGGCTTCCAACGCAGCGCTTCACGATGGGGTGCTGTCCACCTTTACTTACAGCCCAGGGTGGACCGCGGTAGGGTGCTTCTGGTTCAGAGGTTCACGAACGCTCCCAGAGGGAGAGGATGCCACCAGCCTGAGACCAGAATAGGTATCCTGTTACTAGAGTCCTGGCCACAGCTAGGGACCTGGGAGGTCCCAACAGATGAGGCCCAGCCATTCGCACAAAGGAGAACTAGGCAGAAGGGGCTGGGGAAGGAGGCAGGAGTCTGTTCTCAGTGTGTCCCACTGGGAAGGCAGGTCTGAGGCTGTTCTCTGGGTGCCAGCTTTAAGGCCACACAGGGAAGGTACAGAGGCGAGGGTCGGTGGGCATGGCTAGCAATCTAGGTCAGTGGGCCTGGTCCCCTGGAGCTGGCCATGCAGAGTCATGGGTGCCAAGGACATCACCACTGCTGATGGGGGCAGTGCTGATTTCCACGGCAGGAGGTTGTGTGTCAGACCAGTGGTCCTGGAATCAGATAACTCAGCAGCTCAGAGAGGCAGAGGGGTTGGTCGGGCAGCGAAGGTCCTGCTGCACCCCAGCCGACTCGGCATAGATCCTCCTAAGTTCCCAGGCTGGTCTGATCCTCTGCCTCAGCCTCCACACTGCTGGGAGCACAGGGTGTACCATCGTGCCTGGCTATTCCCCACCCTTTTTAAGTGTTTACTTCAGTCCTATTTCTGGGGGACACTGTGGTGACAGCAGTGAAATTATATTATTTTCAAAGGAGTTTGTGCCTTTCAATTTTCTGTAGCTTCTGAGAGATAGTGATTTGTAAATTTTGAAAATATTGAAACATGCACTTTTAGCCTGAAAAAAGTTTGTTTGTTTTTTTTTTAACTTTAAAACAGGGTCTTGCTAAGTTGCTGGCCCCAAACCTGTTTTCCTCCTGTCTTAGCCTCCCAAGTAGCTAGAATCACAGGCCACTTTGCCACTGCACCTGGCAGATTGGGGACCGTTGTGACCCTGTTTTGAGATGCGTGTTCTGAGCTCCCTGGTTCTTGTGGGTCTTTCTGTCTCAGGCTGCTTCATGTCACCCCACAGGCCTCTGAAGCTCTGCTCACCTTTTTTCTTTTTGATTTCTTTCCCTCCAACTTAATTTTGGATACTTTCTACTAATATGCATTTATAGTAGATTTTTCCCCGCGCTTTCAAATCTGCTCTTTACTCCACTTCATCCAGAGAATTGTTCATTGTGCTGAAAATCCACCGTCTTTGCCATTCTTAGAGCGCAGCTTCACAGTGGTCCTGCGGACTCTGCCAGCCATCGCCGGGACTTCCCTGTCTTGTCTTCCCGGTCCCCACTGGAGCTCTGGCCCACTGAGCACTGACTCCCGCCCCTCAGCCCTCGGCTCCCACACTCGACTGCCCAAGGGACCCAACCCCCTGAACACTGCACAAATTCTAGTGCTTTCAAATTCTCAGTTTGGGAAGGGCCCTCACAGCCTGGAGGAGAGGTGGAGGGCCAGCAGGGGCAGGAAGGACACAGGGAGTGGGAGACTATTTCTTTCCCCGCCCCTTCCCCCCCTGCCTCCCTGCCTCCCTGCCTGGGATCACACCCACGACGCTCCCTCGCTCCCTCGTGCATGCTAGGGAGTGCTTTACCCCAGAGCTACCCCCAGTACTGGGGCCTGAGCCGGGGACACTCTTGCCCCGAGCTGTGTCCCCGACCCTTTTTAGTTCTCATTCACTTTTTACCTTATGATGTGGATGTTTCCTTGGTGCATGACGGCTGTGCGAGCCGGGGTCAATGTGGGCGCGCTGGTGCCTGTTGAGGCCAGGGCTCTGCCCCTCTGCTCCCCGTCTCTACTGCACAGCCTCCCTGTTTCCATGGGGTCCCTTTTCACTCCCTTACCTCTCTCTAGCTTCCCCGTGTTAGAGAAGACATCCCACCTGTGACGTCGGAGTCTGCTAGTCTCACCTGGCCCTCCGCTCCACCCCTTTACCAGCAATGCCACTAGTTCACCACTCTACACCACCGAGTAGGCCGCCGTGTGTCTATACGGCACGGCACGTTCTCCTCATCCACCCACCTCTTGATGAGCTAGCGCCTGGGCTGGTTCCCTAACCTGACTATTATGAATTGTGCTGCTCTAAACATTGATATGCCTGTAATGTTGCTGAATGCTGATTTTGGTTCTTTTGGATAATATCAAGGAGTGGATTAGCTGGTGGTTCCATTCCTAGTCTTTTGAGGATTTTCCGTATTGCTTTCCAAAGGTGTACAAATTTGCAGTCTCACCAACAACATATCATTGTGCCTTTTCCCCTACACCCTTGCCAGCATATTTATTTATTTATTATTTGGTACCAGAGATTGAATGCAGGGGTGCTTAACACTGAGATAAATCCTCAGCCTTTTTAAAATTTCTTTTTTACAAATTTTTTAGTTGTAGATGAACACAATACCTTTATTCCATTTATTTATTTTTATTTGGTACTGAGGATTAAACCCAGGGCCTCATCTGTATGAGGCAAGCGCTACACCACTAAGCTACAACCCCAGCCCTAAATTTATTTTTTATTTTGAAACAGGGTCTCGTTAGGTTGCTTAGGGCCTCACAAAGTTGCCAAGGCTGGCCTTGAACTTGTGATCCTCCTGCTTAGCGTCCCAAGTCACTAGGATTCAGGTGTGTGCCCTCTGCCTGGCCAACATTTATTATCATTTGTATTCTTTTTTAAAATTTTTTTTTAATTGTGGTTGGACATAATACCTTTATTTCACTTATTTATTTATTTATTTTTTAAAGAGAGAGAGAGAGAGAGAATTTTTTA